GCCTGCTGTGTTCATCCAGCCCTGCACCTTGTTGTCTCAGATTCTCCAGCATCTGCAGTTCTTACTATCCCCGTTCCCTGTGGTGGTTGGGTTGGTTAATCCAGTCTCTTTTATAGTATTTGGTATAAGGCTGTTCAGATATGTTAGTGTGCGACTTTAAAAAGGCACTAAATTTTAAAAAAAAAACGAACCAACTGCGAATGCTGGAAAGCTGGAAAGCTATTGCAGATTGTCTGTCGTTTGCCGCTAATTGTCCACTAATAGCTATGAATTCTCCCAGGCTGATCATTATCCATTCCTTTGTCGGTTCGTCTGTTCTTTGTCTTTGGATTCTGCCCACCTATCCTTTACTCCTTACCCCCTTCCCCCACCGTATCCTCTGCATAACAACCAACCTTTCCTTGCTACCATCAGTTCTGAGGAAGGGTCACTGAACCTGAAACGTTAACTTGGATTTCTCTCTAGGAATGCTGCTAGATCTGCTGAGCCTTTCCAGCAATTTTCTGTTTTTGTTTAGAAAGACACTAACCTGTTAATGTTTGCCCCTCCTGTTTTGGTTGTTGTGCTATTTACTCCAGAGAGTTACAGCCAAGATGTAACAAGAAAAAGTAACACTGGTATCGTCATTGAGACAAACTGTGCTGCTCGTCTATAAACCATTTCCAGTTTGTTTACTAAATAGATTTGGTCAAACTGTTTTAATGTAGGAAAAGGCAATTTTAATTACTTTTCACCACTGCCATTGAAAATAACAGATTACCAATGGACATGGAGGTGAAACAGAACACCAGTTCGCTGTTTTAAAAAAAAAACTGAATTTCCAGCTCTAAACCTTGTTATCTAAGAATGGAGGGCTAGTAGTTCTAGAATGTTGGCAGGAAGGTGTGGAAAGATTGGAACAGTAGGCTCGGTGGACAATGGTTGCCTCAATACTACTGTGCAACTGACATTTCTTTCCTGACCCCCTTCCAAACATCATAACTACGGTGGGAAAACATTGGCGATGGTACATCGTTTCATTAAGGTCTTATGTGGATGGGAGTATTGCCAGTAGTTTGGTGTCTTATAGCTGCAAAATCAAACATTGGCAGATGTCTCTAAACTGCTCACTTTCAGTTAGCCGCAACCCTCTTTCTAAGTGTCTAATTGTTGCTGCCATTAGTTCAAATCTGGCTTACTTTGGCGAAGAATAGAGACCTGGAGATACTGGAGGACTAAATCTGTACACCATCCTCAGGGTAAATGCACAAAGCAGGAAATAAATCAATATTGTCCTGAAATAAGTCATTTGACTTGTCCTAACATGATTCTCCTTTTGTCATAAATGATGCACCTATAGAAAAGCTGCATTGCAAGAGGCTTTGAGGAAGAAACGTGAATGTGAGGCAAAAGCCCTTCGTGTTGTTGAACAACTGCTTGAAATAAATGTCACAGAAGAACTTCTGTTGGATTGTGTAAGTGGGCCTTCTTTGAGGCTACTGTATTGATGGAGTTTTGTTCTTGGTATTTCTAAAAATGAAGTGTTGCAAATATCATTCTGAATGTGTAACATCTTCCTTCATTTCTTCGGTTATATTTGGAATCTGAGAGTATCCAGTGAGTGTAATATATACAGGGTGTTCCAAATCACATCACAGCCAGTGTAGTCATTGCTGTTTATATAGAAAGAAGGAGCTACAAGTTTAGAAGAGTCCATGATGGCAACTAAGTAGCATAGCATCATATTGCTTAGAGGCTGTTGATTCAACTGTGCCTATGTACCAACTTTGTAAAGAATTATCTAATTAGCCCCATTACATCCCTTTGCATGTGGTCCAAAATTCACCCTCTTCCATTATCTTGCCATTGTCAATTTGTCAGGTTGGAGACTGTTTCCGCTAATCTGACCCATAAAAGAAACCAAAAGGTATTTTTCCTATTGAGTTTTCATTTGAAACAATTTGCGATATTGGTCTTCTGTCACACTGCAAAATTGTTTCTCTTCATAAACCCAGTAAATGATCCATGGCTGGCTATGAAATCTGCAGTGACTAATTTTTTTTTATTTGCTCCTTTAAGGGCAAGGTTTTGGATAAGTTTACTGAGAATCTCAGTCCATTCTTGTGATTCTCATTGACTTGCTTTACAACTTCATTTTGCAGCTGTGGGTCACATGCTTGGCTTTAATTTGATGGTCTCTTTGTTCTTGGGAATCTGACTGAGCTGTGTAGATACTGTAGTGGTCCCAGCTGCTTGATAAAACTGGATCATTCAGATCCCAGAGTGAAATCTGGCTTGAAAAACTAAGTTTTAGTTCTGTAACTTGTTTTTTTTTTTATTTATTCATGGGATGAGGGCATTGCTAGCTAGGCAGCATTCATTGCCCATCCCTAATAGACCAGAGGGCATTTTAGAGTCAACCACATTGTGGGTCTGGAGTCACATGTAGGCCAGACCAGGTAAGGATGGCAGTTTCCTTCCCTAAAGGACACTAGTGAACCAGATGGGTTTTCCCCCAGACAAATCGACATTGGATTCATGGTCATCATTAGTTTCTTAATTCTAGATATTTTTTATTGCATTCAAATTCCACCATGTGCTGAGGTGGGATTTGAACCTGGGTGCCCAGAATGTTATCTGGGTCTCTGGATTAACAGTCCAGCGATAATACCACTAGGCCATTGCCTCCTCCCACGGTTACCATGATTGCCAATAACTAAGCATATTCACAAAAGGCCACCTAAGTACTTTCAACAAAAGAACATCAAGGTTTATTACGCACTATTATGGGATCAACTTGGGAAATTCATAAGGGGACTTCAAGAAAACAAAATAACGATAATTTATTTCATGAACACTTATGGACAGGGAGATTTAACATCCTGCAGTTTAAAGCTCACTGTGGTGGGTTACAGAACACCTTCAATCTTTATACAGATTACAGCATGCATGGTATAATTTCCGCACTCCAATCTCCATGTGTTCCATGTTATTTTTGTTTCCACAGCCTTTCATAAGGATTGTCTGTTATTCTATGCAAGGCCTCTGATACTGTGGCTTCTAGCTAGTAACCTTGATAGTCTGAATGCCTTGTTTGTTATTAATGTAATTCCCACATGCTGTGCTTAGTACTGACTATACGGCTAAAGCTTTATTCCTCAACTGCCTTCAATGCAAATAAAAATATTTTCCACTATAAAATAATTATTTGAAACCTTCTTATTAATCAAGACATTGAATATAAGAGTGAGGAGGTGATGATTGAGCTATATATAACATTAGTTAGACCACAGCTGGAGTACTGTGTGCAGTTCTGGTTGCCACACTACAGAAGGGATGCGATTGCGGAAGAGATTTACTAGTTAGCTGGAGTGATTCAACTATGAAGAAAAACTAGGTAGGCTGGAGTATTTTCCTTGCAGTAGAGAGGCTGATGGGGTTCTGATTTGAGGTGTAAAATTTCTGAAGGCATAGATAAAGTAGATTGGGGGGTGGGGGGAAGAAACATTTCCCCTTAGCAGAGGGCTCAATAACCAAGGGCCACTGTTTTTAAGGTGAAGAACAGGAAGTTTTGAGGGGATTTGAGGAATTTTTTTTCACCCAGAGGACTGGAAGGTTGGTAGAGATGGGAAACTAAGTTTATAAATATTAGTACATCACAAACCATTACAATTTCTTCCAATGGTCTCTAATGTTTTCTGATATCTTGAATTCAAGAAAACTTTCTTAATTATTTGCCTACTCTACAGTCTGGTTTCGTATTCACAGCACAATTCAAACTGTTTCTCCTTGATGTCCTATTTCCCTATTAGCAAATATGTTGGTAATCATGACAGCATATATTGACATACAGATGCAAAAGCCACACAACTGTCCTTGGTGTGTTATTCTATGAATCGATGAATTAATAAGTTTGCACAAGACCAAGTTTGACTTTGGCAGTCAGTAGATGCAAAGAAGAAAGAAAGAGAATTTGTTTTTTTTTTTGGCAAAAAGTCAGTTTGTGGTCAAATTATATCCAAGATGTATATTTTCTAAAAGAAAATGAAATGAGGACTTCATGGCCCAAAATCAGGGGTTGTGTTTTACACAAGACAAACTATTATTGGTCAGACCATAGCATAGTGGTAATGTCGCTGGAAAGGTAAGCTCTAGGCTTAAACTAATACTGGTTCAAATTTGTCCACGGCACCTGGTGGAATTTAATTTCATTGAATAAATCAGGAATTGAAAGGTAGTCTTAGGAAAAGTGACCAATCAACATAGATTGTAAAAACCCATCTGAAATAACTCCACAAAGGCCTGTAGCCCATCACCAACTCATCCTTTATTTACATGTGCATAGTACATAACACTGAGCCAGCTCCAAGAGCAAGCAGAACCCTTGACACTCCTGTTTATATCCATCAGCCAGGACTCTGAATGGGCTGTGAACCTGGTCCAATCACGGAACTCATTCTGTGAGATCGACCTGGCTAACATTGTTCAACCAGTACATCATCTGGACTACAAATACCACTTGGGGAAGGAAGTCGACTGTCATTACTTATTTTGGCTTACATGTAACTCTAGATCCACAGCAAATATGATTGGCTTTAACTTCCCTCTGGACAACAGCATTGCCAGTAATGCCCACATACCATTAAAGAAAAAAGATAGATAAAACTGGAGCGTCTGTATATATGTGGAATTTATAAATATTATTCTTTTATAATTTGGGAGATAACTTTTTCCAGGGCAAGTGGCAAACTGGTGTTTAGTAATTTTATGATTTTGTTATGATGCTTTTTTTGGATGCATTTGCAAACATGTGTAACTTTGCCTCTTTTGTTCTAATTTAGATACAGTTTATTACTGTAGTCCATTATAAGGATATTGTGGAAGAGCGTTCCATAATTAAACAGTGTGGCTATCCTATTTGTCAAAATAAACTTGAGAATGTAAGTCTATTATGTTTATTTGTATTAATTCAGAGTTATTTGTGAAAGTAAATGATAAGTAGTGTCACACCAGGTGAAGATAGGCAAATCAGCTTCCGTCTTTGCAAACTCCCTGCTTGGCCACAACAAATATTAGTGTCTTCTAGCATGAAACCAAATTGTTCTTCAGTTAAAATGTAATCAATTAATTTCTACTGCAGCAATAAGAAGCCAGTTGTAATGTTTCTTTGAGTGAAAGAGCAATTTCGTTACTTGCTAACCGTAAGAAATAATAAAATGCAATCTCAGGCAAAGGGCTTTCATCTAGTATCTCTCACCCATAACAAAGTTGAAAGGGAACAAGTGCCCACTACAAAAAGGACAATAAAAGAATACAAATCTCTTTTTTTTTTTAGGTGTCTTTGCTTGTTAGAATAGATGTGCATACTGCTAGTTCGCAATCAATAGCTCCAGTTTAAAAGGTATAAAGTATTTTTTTCACTTTAACCAAAACAGTATCATATACTTTTTCAACACAGAAAGAGATCATTTGGTCCAGCATCCAGGAACTACCCATATTCTGTACTTCTCCCCTTTCCCCTAAGGCCTGCAAATATTCTCACCTCCCCACCCCCTCCCAGTGTATATATCCAATTTCATTTTGAAAGTTATTATTAAATCTTATTCACAATACCCTTTTAGACAGTGCATTCTTAATAACTCACTGCATTTTCAAAAAGAAAATTCTTATTTGCCTTTCGGTTACTGATCCCATTTCTTATGGAAATGGTTTCACCTTATTTTCCCTATCAAAACTCTTCATAATTTTGAACTGTTGTATTCTATCTTCTGTTAATTTCTCTGTCCTAAGGTGAATAGTTGCATCTTCTCTGTTGCTGTAGAGTAATACAGCATGGAAACAGACCCTTCGGTCCAACATGCCTATGGCAACCAGACATCCCAATCTAACCTCGTCCCATTTGCCAACATTTGGCCCATATCCCTCTTAAACCTTTCCTATTCATATACCTGCCCAGCTGCCTTTTAAATGTTGTAATTGTACCCGACTCCACCACTTCCTCTGGCAACTCATTCCATGCAGGCACCATCCTCTGTGTGAAGAAGTTACCCTTCAAGTCCTTTTAAATCTTTCTCCTCTCACTTTAACCTATGTCCTCTTGTTTTGGACTCACCCACTCTAGAGTCTATCCATGCCCCTCATGACCTATTAAACCTCCATACGGTCACCCCTCAGCCTCTGACGCTCAAGGGGGGAAACCCCAGCCCATTCTCGCTCTCTCGCACCCTTCAGTCACATCAGAGGATCTCATCCCTGGACCACTCTATTTCAGAGTGCAAGTGCTTTTTGTTTTATTTCCTGAGATTGAAGATATTTTTCTTTACTTATCCATGATTTGTTACATAAAAGACCAGTTGAACGTTTGAGCAGGGATGTATGTTGCAGCTATACAGGGCCTTGGTGAGGCCACACCTAGAATATTGTGTACAGTTTTGGTCTCCTTCTCTGAGGATGGATTCTCTTGCTCTTGAGGGAGTGCAGCGAGGGTTTACCAGGCTGCTTCCTGGGATGACGGGACTGACCTATGAGGAGAGATTGACTAGGTTAGGATTGTTTTCACTAGAGTTCAGACGAATGAGGCGGGGATCTTAGAGACTTATAAAATTCTAACAGGACGAGGCAGGGAGGATGTTCCCAATGGTGGTTGTCTAGAACAGGGGTCACAGTCTGAGGATTCAGGTTAGACCATTTAGGACAGATGAGAAGACATTTCTTCACCCTAAGGGTGTGAGCCTGAGAAATTCATTACCACAGGAAGTAGTTGATGTCAAAACATTGAATGTATTCAAGAGGTGGCTAGATATAGCACTTGGGGGCAAATGGGATCAAAGGTTATGGGGAGAAAACAGGATTAGACTGTTGAGTTGGATGATCATCCATGATCATGATGAATGGCGAAGCAGGCTCAAAGGGCCAAATGGCCTCCTCCTGTTCCCATCTTCTATGTTACATCTTTTGCTTGACAATAGATCTGATATAATTTGACCAATAGGGAAGAAAAATAAATTTTTAGGTCAATATTATTTCATACATCACCCAGAGAAACCTTTCCAATGCCCATTCAGTTCATATTGCATCTGAGGCCACTCTGTTGTGCTGGTCCCATTGATGTGAATAGAAATACTGCAAGTGGCCTATCACAGGCCTTACAACATGCATCATTGAGGAGAACATCAGGTGTTCGATGCTGTGATCGATATCTACCTATTTTATACCATTTTATTCCCCTGCAATGGGAGGACAGCAATGAACAAAGAGTGTGCCCAAATGCTTCTTCTTTGTCTGTTGTTGCCTAACAATCCCCGCCTTGTCTCAAAGGCATCAGTAGCTTACTGTGTTTTGGTTCAAAGAGCAGCAGTTACATTTTGCTATAATGTAGCTAACAAAGGAAATTAATGATTGTATTACGTCAAAGGAGGAGACATATAAAATTGCAAAAAGGTAGTAAGTCTTAGGATAGGGAGCATTTTAGAATTCATCAGGGAAGGACCATGATACAAAAAGAGAGAGACTGTAGAATATAGACACAATAATCATAGCTCGAATCCCAGCTGTTCACAATATAATAATAGTTTGGCTGAGGGAATTAAATTTAAAATCTCCAAATTTGCAGATGGCACAAATCTGAGAGGGAGGGTGGCCTATGAGGAGGATGCAGAGAAGCTTCTGTGTGATTTGGTCAAGCTGAGTGCATGAAAAATGCAATATAATATACATTAATGTGAGCTTATCTACTTTTGTTTGCTAAAACAGGAAGGCATGTTATTATTTGGCTATAAATTGATAGGCAGGACCTGGGTGTCATATAATCATACAGTCAGGAGAGGCCCTTTGGCCCATCAGGCCATCAAGACAGTTCCACTAAAGCTACAATAAATCTACTAGTCTCACTTTCCAGCAGTGGGCCCATAGCCTTGAACGTTATGAGCATTATGGATACTCCAAAGGCTACTGGCCCTGACAACATTCCGTCAATAGTACTGAAGACTTGTACTCCAGAACTTGCCGCTTCCCTAGCCAAGCTGTTCTAGTACAGTTACACTGGTATCTACCCGACAATATGGAAAATTGCCCAAGTATGTCCTGTACACAAAAAACAGGACAAATCTAACCCGGTCAATTACTGCCCCATCAGTGTCCTCTTGACTATCAGTGATGGAAGGTGTCATCAACAGTGTTATCAAGCAACACCTGCTCAGAAATAACCTGTTCAGCAATGCTCAGTTTGGGTTCCACCAGGCCATTCAGCTCCTGATCTCATTACAGCCTTGGTTCAAACATGGACAAAAGAGCTGAATTCCAGAGGTAAGGTGAGAGTGTCAGCCCTTGATATCAAGGCTGCATTTGACCTAATGTGGCTTCAAGGAGCCCTGGCAAAACTGGAATCAATGGGTATCAGGGGCCTAATGCTCTAGTGGTTGGAGTCATGCCTGACACATAGGAAGATGGTTGTGGTTATGGGAGGTCAATCGTCCCAGCTCCAGGACATCTCTGCAGGAATTCCTTGGAGTAGAGTCCTAGGCCCAAGTATCTTCAGCTGCTTTATCAATGACCTTCCCTCCATCATAAGGTCAGAATTGGGGATGTTCAGCACTGTTTGTGACTCCTCAGATACTGAAGCAGTCCATGTTCACATGCAACAAGATCTGGATAATATGCAGGCTTGAGCTGACCAGTGGCAAGTGACATTCGTGCCACACAAATGCCAGGCTATGACCATCACCAATAAGAGACAATCTAACCACTGCCCCTTGACATTCAATGGTGTCATCAACACCCTGAGGATTACCATTGACCAGAAACTCAACTGGACTCACCACAATAACAGAGTGGCTACAACAGCAGGCCAGAAGCTGGGAATACCGCGGCGACTAACTCACCTCCTGACTCCTCAAAGCCTGTCCACCATCTACAAGTCAGGAGTGTGATGGAATACTCCCCACTTCCCTGGATGAGTGCAGCTCCAATAACACTCGAAGCTTGACACCATCCAGGACAAAGCAGCCGGCTTGATTGGCACTACATCTACAAACATTCACTCCCTCCACCACTGACACTCAGTCGCAGCAGTGGGTACTATCTGCAAGATGCACTGCAGAAAGTCACCAAAGTTCTTCAGACAGCACCTTCCAAACCCACGACCACTTCCATCTAGAAGGACAAGGGCAGCAGATATATGGGAACACCATCACCTCCAAGTCACTCACCATCCTGACTTGGAAATGTATCGCTGTTCCTTCACTGTCGCTGGGTCAAAAACTTGGAATTCCCTCCCTAATAGCATTGTGGGTCAACCCACAGCAGGAGGACTGCAGCTGTTCAAGAAGGCAGCTCACCACCACCATCTCAAGGGCAACTAGGAATGGGCAAGAAATGCTGGCCAGCCAGCAATTCCCACAAATGAATTTTAAAAAAAAAAAACAAAAAAATTTTGGGTGCTTGCTCAAGTACTTTTTTAAACATTATGAAATTTCCCTCCTCACTTACCCATCTAAGCAGTGCATTCCAGACCCCACCACCCTCAGGATGAAAACAGTTTTTTCCTCAATTCCCTTTCAAACACTGGATACTGAAAAGGCTAGGGGTCCTGACAATATTCCGGCAGCAGTACCATAGTCTTGTGTTCCAGAACTTGCCCTGCTCCTACCCAAGCTCTTCCAGTACAGGTACAACACTGGCATCTACCTGACAATATGGAAAATTGCCCAGGTATGTCCTGTACATAAAAAGGTAGGGCAAATCCAACCCAGCCAGTTACTGCCCCATCAGTCTACTCTCGATCAGTAACGTGATGGAAGATGTCATCAACGGTGCCATCAAGCAACACCTTACTCGGCAAATATTTGTTCAGTGACGCTCAGATTGGGTTCCGCCAGGTCCACTCAGCTCCTGATCTCATGACCGCCTTGATTCAAACATGGACAAAAGAGTTGGATTTCAGAGGTGCAGTGAGAGTGACGGCCGTTGACATCAAGGCTACATTTGACTTAAGTTTGGCATCAAGGAGCCCTAGCAAAAATGGAATCGATGGGTATCGGGGCAAACTCTCCAGTGGTTGAAATCACATTGGCAAGTAGGAAGATGGGTTGTGGTTGTTAGAGGTCAGTCATCTCAGCTCCAGGACATCTCTACAAGAGTTCATCAGGGTGGTGTTGTAGGCCTAGCCATCTTCAGCTGCTTCAATGATCTTCCCTCCATCATCAGGTCAGAAGTGAGGATATTCGCTGATGATTGCACAATGTTCACCATGTGTGACTCCTGAGATACTGAAGCAGTTCATGTTAAAATGCAACAAGCTTATACTTACAAGTGGAAAGTAACGTTTGCACACACAAATGCCAGTCTGTGACCATTGCCAATAAGAGACAAAATAACCACTGCCCCTTTACATTCAATGGTGTTACCATCACTGAATCCCCCACTATCAACATCCTGAGGGTTACCATTGATCAGAAACTCAACTGGACTCAACACATAAACACAGTAGCCACAACAGCAGGTCAGAGGCTAGGAATACTGCAGCAAGTAACTCGCCTCCTGACTCTGCTAAACCTGTCCACCATCTACAAGACGCAAGTCAGGAGTGTGATGGAATACTCCCCCTTGCCTAGATGAGTGCAGCTCCGACAACACTGAAGAAGCTTGACACCATCCAGGACAAAGCAGCCTGCTTGATTTGCACAACATCTACAAGCATTCACTCCCTCCACCACCGATGCTCAGTAGCACCAGTGTGTACTATCTACAAGATGCACTGCAGCAATTCACCAAAGGTCCTCAGACAGCACCTTCGAAACCCATGACCATTTCCAGCTAGAAGGACAAGGGCAGCAGATACATGGGAACACCATCACCTCTAAGTTCCCCTCCAAACCACTCACCATCCTGACTTGGAAATATGTCACCGTTCCTTCACTGTCATTGGATCAAAATCCTTAAATTCCTTCCCCAGGGGCATTGTGGGTCAACCTACATCACATGGACTGCTGCAGTTCAAGAAGGCAGCTCACTACCACCTTCTCAAGGGCAATTAGGGATGGGTAATAAATGCTGGCCAGCCAGCAACACCCACATCCCACAAATGAATTTAAAAAAAAAAATCACCTAACCTTCACCTTATAATTGTTACTTTGTTACTGCCCTTCTGACTGAAGGGAAAGGGCTTATTTCTATTCACCCTGTCCATGCCTGTCATAATTTTATGCATCTCTGTTAGGTCTCCTTCAATCTTTACTACATAGAACTGTACAGCACAATCCAGGCCCTTTGGCCCACGATGTTGTAGTAAACTTTTACCCTAAACCTAAGGTCTATCTAACCTCCACCCCTACCTTCGTACTATCATCAATATGCCTACCTAATAGCTGCTTAAATGCCCCTAATGAGGCTGACTCCTCTACCCTCTCTGGCAATGCATTCCACGCCCCTACCACTCTCTAAGTAAAGAACCTACCTCTGACGTCTCCCCTATATCTACCTCCACTCACTTTAAAACTATGCCCCCTCGTAATAGCTACCTTCACCCTAGGAAAAAGTCTTTGGCTATCCACTCTATCTATACCTCTGATCATTTTGTACACCTCTATCAAGTTTACTGTTCCAAAGAAAACAGTCCAAACTAATCCGGCCTCCATTCGTTGCTAATAGACGTAGACATGCAGGGGCAGCAAGGTACAGTAACGATCAGTGCTTGGGCTCAGCATGTTTTTTATTTGTTCATGGGATGTGAGTCCCACTGATTGGGCCAGTTTTTATTGCCCATTACTAAATGACTGGAGGACAGTTAAGAGTCAACCATTTTGCTGTTGTTCTGGAACCGTGTAGGCCAAACCAAATAAACATGGCAAATTGTTTTCCCTAAAGGATATTAGTGAACCAGATGGTCTTTTATAACAATTAACAGTGGTTACTTGGTTGTCATTAGGCTAGCTTTACTCCAGATTTTTTGTTGAATTCCATTTCACCATCTGCCCTGGTGGAATTGAAACTCATGTTCCCAGACCATTCACCTGAGGTTCTGGATTATTAGTCCGGTGACTGAGATGGCATAGAAACATGGACCATAGTTTGGGGACAAGTTAACTTAGGACTGAGATCAAATGGAATTTCCTTACTTGGAGGATAGTGAGTCTTTGGAATTTTCAATCTTAGAAAGCTGTGCAAGACTGAGGTTGATAGATTTTCAAATCCCAATGACAGTCGTAGCATCATGACTATGACGAATAACATAAAGGGCTATGAGAAAGTGTGGGATTATGGCATTGAGTTTTTTGATCAGCCATGATCTAGAGTGACAGGCCAAGCTTGCAGGACTGACTGGCCTCCTCCTATATTCCAAAGTATAGTCGTTCTTGTCTGGAACATGACAAAATGGTTTCTGTGAGTAGACTCCAGTTCACTGACGACTTGACAGCCGAAATGATACAGTCATTATTTTACTTACGTCCACTTGACCTATTTAATATAGCTCTTGTGTTCAACAGCTGAGCCATTTGGCAGTCCTGTCACTGATTATGGTCTAACCTATGATTTGATTCTTTTTATTCTATCTAGGTACCTAAACAGCAATATAAAATATCTACCCACACTAATCGAGTTTATGACATTACTGAAAGAAAGGTAAGAACTTTTTCAAAGATTTTTTAGTTAATTTGAAATAATTTGTGTGTTGAGAGAATTTTTTTATGAATATCCCTAGGTTTATACATTTTAGTTGGATTTGCAACTTTTGTTTACACTATGCTGGAATCAAAACTACATGGAAATTTTTCTAGCACTGTTTAACATATTGCTGCTCTCAAAAGTAAAAATTATGACTATACTGCAAACAACTCCAAAAGAGTCAAATTAGATGTGGTCGTTATGCTTGCAGACCTGAGAAAGCTAATTGTAATAATATATTAGACATGTTGCTGATATATGAGTAGCACACGAGTACTATTACCACTAACGAGCATTTCAGTTGTTAGTTGGATAATTATCCAGAAATTGGCTTAAAACATGAACAACTGTGCTCAAATTCTTAATGAGAATTTGAATTCAGTCTTAAATAATCTGTATACATATTATGTTTTAAAAAAAAAAGTTGTGGTCTCTAATTTACTTTAGGGATAGAAATTACATGTCTTTTTTATGTATTTTAATCTATATGTGACTCCAATCCCAGTCTTAACGTCTCTTTGAAAGGCAGATTGGATGGGTACTAATTGCTAAAAGGAACTGGAACTAATCCACAAGTATTCAAGTTATGTTTTGTTTAGAAGCATTTTCAGTTTGTGACTGACATTCTTAAAAGGCTGCAGTAAAGATTTAGGTTGTTCAACACTGTGAAATTCTTCATTTAATATTATTTGTCTATTTCAAAGCTGGCCCAGTCAATCATTAAGTTAAAGCTTTTGCTTTCAATCTTTTTTTTTGTAATTCGATAGAACAGAGATTAGAAAGAATCATTCTGTTGCCTTGCACAAGTCCAAAAGATATGGACTGTAAAGTTGAATAGTCTAGAGAAAAAAAAATGCCTGTTAACTATTCCTATTATTCCACAGTAGACGATCTTTCAATTATGGTCGGACCCACTTATCAAATTTATCACTTGCCCATAATTGTGTAAATTTTTTGGACGATGGAATAAAAGATGACAACCCCCTTCTGAATAACTTCTAAAATTTGAAAAATTTTAGAGTGGTGCAGCTTGGCCTACTCTTTACCATTCGCTGACTGTAAGTAAAAAGTGCTAGCTATTGATTCTGGTTTAGGCTCTGCAGCTGTCAGCAGTCCAATAATGTACTTGATTTTGGACAAGGTACAAGCTGAGATTTAGTGGCTGTTATGCCATGTTATGTTAAGTTATGATCATGGGGACCTGGGGAAGGGCACAGCTTAAAAGAAAAATGTCCTAAAGTTTAAAAAAGGTCTACTCATATATTTACATTGAAGAAAAGGTAATTTCTATAAATACAAACACTAATTACAATCAATTATTTTAAGTGTTTTTGCAGCAATTTTTGTTACAAAGCTTCCAAATATTTAGAAGCTCAGGTTCCAAAGAGCCCATTATGGTCACGGGATCAAGGAAGGTGAAGTATTTGTTCTAAATTTATGATTTGTTCTTGCAATATGAATTGTTTTCATTGAACTTTCAATGCTAATTATAAGGAAGTGTAACAATGGCATCATAATTAATTTGCATTTCAAATTTAGCTTTTTCTCAAAATAATTGTGAATTTTTAAAACCTTTTTCACCTAGCCAATAAAAAGAGACAATATGGGTGGCTCACTGAGGCTCGGGTTATCTCCGTGCTCTTTTTCCTTTTGGTTGAAATCCATCCTTAACTAAGGGAATGAAAGCCTCTTCTAAGATAGGTTTGGGCAGTCATCCAATTAATGGAGAGATTCAAGTTTAATTGATGGGAGAAATTGGAAAAATCTATGTGAATTTTAATGTATGGAAAATCGTATCTTCTGTTTTATAGATCTTCAGTATGCTGGTTGTTAAAGGAACAAAGGTATGCACAATGTTTTAATTGATGTTTTGTGAAGTACAATACTAATTTTGTTTTTAGCACATAATAAATTTGAGGAAACCTCTGAGAAATGATCTTGCGTTACGCACATTCTCCAGTCAAGTTATGTGACAGTGAATTATCAACCAATAACTTATCTCCATACTGACTAAATGATATGATGAAAATACTTGGCGATAGCAATTTGTATTGACTATCTTTTAAAATTAGTCAATGCCAGTTAAATATGCTGCCGCCTATTTTCAGGAGATTTGGGCTTTGATCTTGTATTTAATCCCCTGAAGATGCCTTATGCCACAAATGCAATAGATAAAATCAGAATGTGTTTATGTTAATTTGATAGAAAAGTAATTTTTAAATTTTTAGGGAAGTACTAAGATCTTTTAAAGAGACCAGTGCTTACAAAAATTTACCAGGAGATGGCGCATTTGTCTATATATATTTAGCTAAAGATAAACTTTCCATTTTTCCATTTTGTAAAGGCGGTGTGTATAGGCAGTGTCATGTTAGGTGAAGCTCATCTTGTGCACGTGCAGAAACACAGCATCACTGTTATTACAGCTATCGTTACACCTGATCAGAGCTAGCACTTTCATTCAAAGTCTCTCAATTGTTCTTTATCTCCCTCGTGTGCTCTCGCACACAAAGTGAGTGGACTAAATTAAAATGAAGTAGGAGGAAAAGATAGAATCACAGAATTTTACAGCACAGAAGGAGGCCATTGACTTGTTGTGTCTGTACCGGCTACCAAAAGAGCTATCCAGCTGTCAATAATACACTCCGGCCCCCAAGATGCCTTGAGTGCACTGGCAGATAGTCCAAGCTCCTCATCCTACCAGGGGCAATATAAAGAACTCGGATGTTAGATTTTTTTTTAATCAGCCTGCTCAGATATTATTAGACATCTCTGAAGCAGGTAGGATGTGAACCCAGGACTTCTAATCCAGAGTTAGGGACCACTGTAGTCCAATAGCACAAGAATTCAGCGCTTGGATAATTTTCTAATCAACCCATTCAGAGATTTTTACACAAATGTAGCCGTAAAAGAGGGGCAGGCAGTCAAAAACTATGACCTCTGCTGCCTTGACCTGTGGGTGGCTGCTTTAACCAGGAGAAACCCAGCTCTTTTTTTTTAAATCAACGTATTTAGATGTGGGAGCAGGTGGGATTTGAACCTGGGTGCACACTCCAGGGTGGAGAACCACCACTATACCATAAAAGCCCTAGAGATTGGCTTTTTTTTTAAACAACCTCCACCCAAATCACCCATGACACCACAAAATTGCTATTTTAACAAACACTGCCAAACGCAGGTGAGTACAGCAATAACAAAAAGAAAGGGTAGAGAAAAAGGGAGGAGATTAAATTAAAATGGAGTTAGAGGGGGAAATAATGCACTCCAAATCCATGGTGTCCACCTCTGAAATGGACAGTTTTATTTTTAGCAAAATATACAGACAAATGCACCATCTCAAGGTCAACTTTTGTAAGCAGTAGCTTCTTTAAAGATCTCAGCACTTTTTTAAAAGTTAAAAATTATATTTCTACCAAATGATGAACATATACACATTGTGATTTTATCTCTCACATTTGTGACATTCAGGCAGCTTCAGGGAATTAAATACAAGATCAAAGCCCAAATCTCCTGAAAAAATTGGCAGAATAGACCCTGACCCTAACCCAACATGGAATTTTCAGCTGTGCTGCAGAAACGGCTGTCTGGTTATTGGAAAATCCAGGCCACTGACATATCCAAAACATTCTGCCTGTTTATTTAAAGCAGTGGCTAATGTTAAGTTCCTAATTTTATCACAACAAAAGTGCGACCAGAGTTTTTTAATGGCTCTCAGCGTGAAACTAATTTTCTGTCATTGTTTATAATATTTTATCCTTGACTTGTAGAGGTAGCGCTGGTGAAGAAGTGCACCTTCAAAGTTCAAGCATCCATGTGTCAGATATTGATAATCCTCTCTTTTTGGAAGATCAGGATGTGTCTGCCTCCTCAAGTGAAAGCAATAGCAGTGATGACTCTGACCAAGAGTTTGTTTCCAACATAATTTTGGGAAAAAAGTGTAGTTTAAAAGCTTCAACACAGAAACCGCTCAAAAAAAAGCAACCAGATACAAAACCTAAGAAAATAGTACCGGTGCCAAAACATTCAGAAATGGATTATAAAGTAGACAATGTTGTACAAAAGTTGAAGAAATGCCATGTTAAGAATACTGAGACATCAAGTTCTAGGCCATCCCGAAGTGGAAAAAGTGAACAATCAATCTTTGTGCCAGAAGAAAAGTGCTCCCTAACATCAGAGCAAAACTTGACTCTGATGACAACATTGAAAGAAAATGAAAACATTGTTGGAATTAAAAACTTTACAACGCAGTGCTTAAGCAAGAAGGGTGCTGCATCACTGAAGATGCTGGTAGCAAAATCAAAACTGTTGAGCCATTCTAGTTCAGGTGTTGACCTGTCAGGTAAAAATAATGTGCTAGGATTGCTAAGACAAACACTAAATGAATGGAGGACAGAAGAAACATCAAGATTTCTTTATGGTTCCAATTCGAAGTACACAAAACAGTCACCAAAATGGCCAAGTCTAACATCTTGTGTAACTGAGCAAGAAGAACTTGATGAAGATGACTTGGACAGTCTGGAAGTGGTTGAAATTACCAACCCTAATGAAAATGCTGGAGACAATGACTTGACCAAAGGTGTACAAGTTGGAAGGTCAGAAACCACTGCAAGACCATTACCAAATTTTGAACAACTAAAACAGGAATCTGAATTTCTTCATCTGAAGGTCAGAGAGTTTTATAAGGGGCAGTATGTGTTGCCTGACGACATTGAACGTAATTGTGATGAAAATTATCAATCTGTAAATTATGCGCAGGTAAGTCATGCACTCTAACACAGTTTTTAAGTAACATTATTGAATGATATAGCATGAAATCATGCTCAATATCAGAGAATGACTTTCTATAACTTGGGTTGAAATATTTGCTATATTCTTGTGTAGCAGCCTTATTGAAGGTTTTGTAACTTTTAATTTTATGGCTCTAGGGACTTCTTTAACAATATAAAGGATATAAGAGGATGAGTAGAAGTGATAAATCTGGTAACTACTTGCAATCATCTTGATTGCTGCCATAGTTATGTTTTTGGAGTAGTTCAATCTAAGCTGGTAGTTAAAGAGGACTCTTATCTGATGCCACAGTCGTATTTCCCTTTTTCTCCTATATATTACTGCTCTCCTCCACTCCACTTGCATTTTCAGTCCTCACTGGGCAACAGTTCCACAATACCACTTTAATCTGAATCCAAAGTGAACACTTTGACCATAGGGGGTGTGATAGACTAGTTTTAAAACTACCCTAAGTTGACATGTACAAACATTTTCAGCAAGGGTTTCTAGATAATTAGTGGGAAGAAGAACTGGTCATCTTCTCTCCTTCCTGACCAGAGGGTCTGAGGTATAGAGAAAAGTATTTGCTGTGACCACAATTGAAATCAGGTTAAAAAGATAAAAGGCGCCATAGTCTTACAGCATCCTAGGGCTGCTCTCTGGTTTGAGAGAAATGACTGGTGGTGGTTTAACCTGAGCATTACCTCACCTTGGGTGAGGGGCGAGGTTGAGGAGGAGAGTCCTTCATGGAAGCCTCAGCCATTGAAAGAATTAAACCCACGCTGATGATTTGACTCTGCATTGCAATTCAGCTGCCTAGCCAACTGAGTTAATCAACCCCTGAAATTAGGCAGTACTGAAGATCAGGCATCAAACCTTAAAATCTTGCTTTTTTCTGTTTGACCACAGGAGATATGATCCATACATTGAGAACAAAAGGACTGATTTTCTGATTTTGTAGCCAATTTTTCAAATTCTCTACCCCTAATCCTATACTTCAAAGTCTTATTTATAGGCGATTCTTCTCAATTTAAAGTTGAACACAAAGATTAGAACCTAAAATTTGCACGCAGCCCTGGAAAACTAAAAATACGTTTAAACCCAACAGTTGGCTGGATGGCTGTTGATGCAAAGTGATGCCAGTGGATTCAATTCCCGCACCAGCTGGGGTTACCATGAAGCACTCTCCTTCTTGACCTCTCCCCTTGCCTGAGATATGGTGACCTTTGGGTTAAACTGTCACCAGTTGTCTTTCTAATGCAACAGCAGGTGTATGGTCTGGTCTGGTTTGACTATGGTGACTTCACCTTTTACTTATTTTGCATGGCCAAGGAAGGACTGCAACATGGGTGCTTTAAATCAGGTGCTTAAGTAAGTAGAGAAGAATAAGTATACTGTGTGCAAAACAGTTAGTGATGTGTAACTGTCCTGAAGAAGGATAATACCCGAAACGTTGACTGCTCCTTTCCTCCAGGTCCTGCCTGGCCTGCTGTGTTCTTCCAGCCTCCTGTTTGTCTACCTTGGATTCCAGCATCTGCAGTTTTTTTTGTCTCTAATGATGTGTCGACTCTTTATTTTTGTGCTTTTTAAAGATATTTCTGTTTATAGGTTTGTATATTTTAATACTTACTGAAACGTTGATTGAAACTCCCGTGACTAATTATTTTGAAAAATACAAATCAGTAAGTGACTTACAATTGTTCCTCTGTAAAGGGTTCTGTTTCTGAGAACACCTGCAAATGATGAAATTCATGAATGCAGAGCTCATTAAAGATACAAATTACAAATAGGTTTGAAAATCACAGATACCCAAGTTTGCCCATGGACGTTGAATTTTGTTGCTACTTTTTGGCATGGATAGGCAAATTCATGAGTCATGATCTCGTGGATATAGAGAATTTACTGTACTCCAGTAATGACCAGTGCTTCCAATGATGTTTTCCTTCCATGTCAGTATTGGGGCATGTATTGCTAATTATCTTCACTTCATAATGACTTGTCTATTGTGGCATGAATCCTAGATCCTCTGGTGCAGCCTTTACCATGATTTTATCTACTACATTGGGTACCTCAATCTGTTCTATTCCTGCCTGTTCCATTTCCCCTGTCATGTTTGATCAGCTGATTCTGAATTTCTTATCCCAGTCTGTGTGGCTGCTTGCATGGCTTTCTCAAAAATCATTTAACTCTTTTGCTTGGGCTCCTACTTCCTTGCTACTAGTCTTGACATTGCCTGGCAATCTCATTATCCTGCCTGCCATCAACTCGCACGGAGTTATCTCCGAGATGAATTGGTGAACCTTCTCTTTAACATTGTTTGTTCATTCATTCCTCTTCGTATGACTGTGTAAATCTACCGTGTTTACTTTCTCCAACCCAATTACTACTGATTGTTGCTTCTTATGTGCCTGCCTCATCTCCCTATGGTATCTATTTGAATGCTATTTGTTCCCTTCTAATGTGCTTTAAGCTTTATCACTGCTGCCTGTAGTGGTAGTCTAGCAGTTTCTACTTATTCCTTAATTACTGCCTTGTGCTATACATGCCCCCACCCAAAATGATGTACCCGCTTTAACTCCATGCTACCAAATAGTCTCGTACTGCTAGTTGGGTGGTAATGGCAGTTAGTGGATTGGAATGCTGCTTCTGCGAGTTGTGGGAGACCAGGAAGAAGTCAAATGTTCCTGAAAACTATGTCTGCAGGAAGTGTAACCACCTGCAGTTCCTCTCAGACTGCATGGGTCAGTTGGAGAAGCAACTGGACTCACTGAGGAGCATGCAGGAGGGATAAAGTTTTATAGATAGATGTTTCAGGGATGTGGTCACACTAAAAGTTCAGCCAGATAAATTGGTGACAGTCAGGAAAGGTAAGGTGGGCGGTGCAGGAGTCCCCTGTGGCTATTTCCCTATCAAATGAGTATACTGTTTGGATACTGTGGCAGAGCAATGGCCTCTCGGGGGAGCAACAACAACAGCCAGCTCAGCGGCGCCGCAGTTGGTTGTTGTACATTAGGGAATGTTAAAGTGTAGGTGATCGATAGCAATAGGGAACTCTAGCGTCAGGAGCACTCATCAGCGTTTCTGTGGCTGCAAGCGAGACTCCAGGATGGTACGTTGCCTCCCTAGTGCCAGGGTCACGTATGTCTCTGAGCAGGCACAGGACATTCTGAAAGGGTAGACTGAGTAGCCAGAGGTGGTAGTACTAAAATGGTCTAACGACTTTGGCAGGAAGAGAGATAAGGTCTTGCAAAGTGAATTTAGGGAGTTAGAAAAGCAGGACCTCTAGGGTTGTAATCTTGGGATTACTCCCTGTGCCACGTGCCAGTAAGGCCAGAAACAGGAAGATATAGCAGTTGAATATTTGACTAAAGGACTGATGCAGGAAGAAGGGCTTCAGATGTGTGAATCGTCAGGATTCCAAGGCAGGTGTGACTAATTCAAGGTGTATAACAGGTAAGGCAGATGAGTTTAGAACCTGGATTAACACATGGAACTACAATTTGATAGCCATTACAGAAACTTGATTGTGAGAAGGTTGGGACTGGCAGCTCAACTTCCAGGGTTTAGATGTTTCAGGTGTGATAGAGAGGGAGGTAAAAGATATGAAGGAGTTGCATTACTCATTAAGGAGTCACATTAAGAATGTCACAGCTGCACTAAGAGAGGTCATTTTGGAGAGCTTATCCAGCGAGGCCAAATGGGTAGAATTTAAGAATAAGAAAGGTACGATCTCTATGATGAGGTTATAATATGTCTCCCAATAGCCAGCGGGAGATAGAGGAACAGATGTGTAAGCAGATCATGGAAAGATATAAAAACAGCAGCATTGTTATAGTGGGTGATTTTAACATCCCCAATATTGACTGGAACTTCCATTAGTGCTAGGGGCTTAGATGGGGCAGAAGTTGTTAGGTGCATCTTGGAGGGTTTCTTGAAACATATGTAGATACTCCAACGAGGGAAGGGGCTGGCACTGGACCTTGTAATGGGGAATAAGCCTGGCCAGATGATCAAAGTTTCGTTGGGGGAGCATTTTGGGATGGCTTCAGACAGAAATGCAAACCAAACGTTTTGCCTTCAATACAACCTTTTGCTTTCGAAATCTGTATGAATAATTGATATCTCTAATGGAGTTTTACAACCACCTTTCTCACAATTGTTAGCTTCAGCGTTTTTGTGCAAATGATAGACACCGAGGCTCCAGCAAACACTCCAAATGAGTCATCTGTTGTTCATTGTTTACTTTTCTAATTCTGGCCTTGAAGATAAATACAGATTAACTTTTAGAGATAGTAGGAACTGCAGATGCTGGAGAATCTGAGATAACAAGGTGTAGAGCTGGATGAACACAGCAGGCCAAGCAGCACCAGAGGAGCAGGAAGGCTGACGTTTCGGGCCTAGACCCT